TTTTTTTTTTTTTACTGTTTTTACCATTCCTGCCATTTAGAACGAACATACTCATTTGAAAATGCAAATGTTTGCTTTTCCAAAGTGTTTCAAAAGTAAATCACTTCTGACAGAAACATGACACATAGAGATGAAACTACATTGACAACTGCTAATTCACAAGTTTCCCTTTGTTTCCATTCCCTTTTAATGCAACAACCTGCTTCCAAAACATTAGCGTTCAACTGTCCAAACAAATGACTAATTATTTACTTACAAGGGTTTGCATAAGGAGGAAGGAAAACTTTTAAGTGCAGAAATGCAGGTAGTTCCATGTTGTGGAACTGCCTCAGGCGATATATGGCAACAACCTTTTGAAAAAATCATTAAATGTACTCTTTGCACAAGTACAATTACAATATTTAAGCAGGGGAGGAGGGAGGGAGAAAAACAATATACCGATATTCTTGCAAAAACTGCAGTTTGCAGACTCCTTGGCTATCCAGTGAAGCTAAGTGGTATAGGTTAGTGAACCACTGAAAGAGAGTAGTCTCTGGGTCTTCTGCAGGTAAAAGGTTTGTGTTTCTGCCTGTGTGAAAATGTGATATTCCCAGCACTAGGAAGTCTGAAATAGGTGCAAGGACCAGCTTTCGATATCAGTGTGGACAAATGCCTCCCCGTCCCTGGCAGTGCTCAAGAAACATGTGGATGAGGCACTTAAGGACATGCCGTAGCAGGCAGGGTGGGGATGGGTTTATGGCTGGATTTGATGGTCTTGGAGGTCTTTTCTAACCATCATGATTCTGTGATTACGGCTATTCCAGCTATAAATAGCTTTGAAGCTATATTTTGGAATAATTCTCCCTATCATAAAACAAAAAGGCTCATATATTGTTTTAGAATGTATTGTGATGTTTGTCAACTTCATACTTTTTAGAGCATACTCTTTTAGACCCATGATTTTAGAGCTGGTCACAATACCATATATGTACAATCTGGGGGACAGTCCAAACCTAGGCACAATGGATTGAGCATCCAAAAATATGATTGCTACGAAGGCTACATTGCAGGTTATCTTGTAAGATAGCTATTTATTTATTTATTAGCTCAGAATTGTGCGTTTCTGGACGGCAACAGGTGGCGGGGGGCTCTTGTCCTCTTGTTCTGGAAAATTTTGATGACAGCTAGAGATATTTTGAGCTCGTAGTATACAGACTGAGAAAACATAACGTCATGATGAACACAGAAATTGCTGGGTGTTGCAATTCATAAAATCAGAGTAGCGAGAGAGTAATGAGTCCTATTACTGCAATTGTAGCTGCGAGTCCCTCAGAAAAAAAAATATTAAAGAAAAAACCTTCTGTGTATAATCAGTTATACTCTGATACTCTTGTCCAACAAGGCAGATAATACATGTGCTCAAAGCTCAGCCCAACACGAAGTAAAAAAACTGAGCAGGCAAAAACAAGCTTTGAAGAGAGCTGCAAGTGTGGTGGTTTGTTGTGGGGTCAGGACAAGAGGAAATGGCCTCAAGTTGCGCCAGGGGAGATTCAGGTTGGACATTAAAAGAAATTCTATGTGGAAAGTGTGGTGAAGCACTGGAAGAGGTGGTGGAGTCCTTGTCCCTGGCAGTGGTCAAGAAATGTGTGGATGGTTTAGCAGGCAGGGTGGCGATGGGTGGACTCAATGATCTTGGAGGTCTTTTTCAGCTATAATGATTCTATGATTAGGTAAAAGGCAAATAAAGCGGCAATCCCTTTTCAACGGAGTAGGCTAAAATGCAGGCTCTCTAGTTAATTACTTCATTAATACACTGATCTGCCCCTTTACGC